AGATTCCTGAAAGTCGCGTCAGCTGTCTCTACAGTCCTCTGTGACCAGAATCTAGCATTATAGCATGTGCGCAAAACATCAACTATTACCGCGAACCCAAAACCAGAGAATCCATCCTTATCGTAATAGATAAATATGTCTGGAGTTTAAAAAACGCGCTTAAACAAGTTAATCTCAGGACCATCTGCAGTCTCATTGGAAACTCTAGATTTTTCTTCGGGACATCTCGAGAATGACTTTTCTATTCGGTTATTCTACCATGAAGCGCAAACTGGCACTCAAGTTAGTTACAAACTCCCATTTTTAAGAATGTAGTATTCATAATCCGTATTTAGTTCACGGTTATGTCGAAGGAGATCGTCCATGAGGCATCATATGATCGTAAAGCGGATGGCTCACTCTTGATGCATATCAATGGTATAAATCAAAATATTGTGCCTTTCCCTTACATGTTTAATTTTGACTCCAGGCATGTCGGTACGTCAAAGCCGCAATGGAGACGTCACCGTGGACGCAAGACCTCGTGTAATCCAGTGCAGCCCTTCCACAACCGCCGTATTCGTGCGTAGTTCCTATATCGACATGGGCGTGCAGGTATTTTTTAAGCGTTTTAGGGTAGACTCGTCAATGCAAGAGAGATGTGCTTTTTTGAGCTGGAAGCTGTGAGACTCTAATGAGATAATGTATTCCTCTGATCAGGGTTGGGCCAGATTACGCTGCATATAGGCGTACGCTCGGTAAGTTTCATCATATAAGCGTACGCCGCGTATGTCGCGCAGTCTGGCTCAACCCTTAGCAGAAACCTCCAATCTCTCTGATTGAAAATGCTTGGCGTCCAGTCCGAAATTCCAACTTGAGAAAGGGAACACCACTACCTTTGACCGGCTTCAGATTCTTATCTGCTGAAAATCAAGCACAGATCAAAAATTATACCCGACACGCATCAACTTTAGTTCATTTCAGGAAAGTGAAAAAGCATATGTGAAACGGGGACTAAAACGCGTGCATGTATCCCGATCTGGTATGGTCGTTTCCGATGGGAACTGCATCACCTCAATGGATCACTTCGGACGAATTGTTAGCAGTACTTGATTACACCGTCGCTTCCATTGATCTTCTTTCTTCTCCGCTAATTTTTTGCTTTTGTTGAGACACAATATAGATAGTTGTTGATTTTTAGAGATATTTATTGGTTCCCCTTTTTCTTGTTTGATCCATTGAACTGGTGTGTCTCTTGGTATTTATGTTCAGCCAGTCCACTGTTCAATGTGAGTTATATTTCACTATACTGTAGGCTTTCAACTCGGATGCGGTGGAAGTTCCCAAACAACTCTATGCCTTTCCACCCAAGCAATTGAGTTTTCCACAAAAAGAGCTCCTCGAGTGTTAGAGCTGCTCCCGTACTTGTTTCTCTAGGTTTCCATCCAGTATGCCACAGTAGTAACGTTATGCCCACATTGATGTCTGTATTCGAACACACCAATTTGTCTCGTCATTTGTATTTAAAAAAGCGTTTTATATTGTTGGTGATGTAACGACTTGAATGTGAAGACTGCACAACATATTTAACGTGATCGTTAACAATGAGCCGAAATAGGTCTTAAGAGAGAGCAAATGTGTCCTGCTTGCTTCTCTTCTCCCACCTTTATATGCAGCCTATAAAGACAACTGACAATGAGATGAATCATTTACGATACTATACAAATTCTGGGCTTCTTTAAGACTGGGAATAAGCATCTTGTATTTGAACAAACAGATGGGTAGAGCAGCAAATTGGTAGTTACGTGGGAACATGAAATTGGTCTAACAGGCCTTGTTAAGATTGATGCATATGTATTTATAGGAAAAGTCCAAGCAATATGCATCAAAAGGATGATATTTATAACGTCACAAAAAGCATTCGCATCGCGACACAAGTGTCCCAACTGTAATTTTCCTGATAAATTAAACATCCGGATGGGTATACTTTTGAAGAAAAAAATCTGGAAGGAAGACGTCAAAAATAGCAATTGAGGGAAAGAATAGCAGAGAATATATGTACAATAAATGAGAAAAATCAATACAGTTGCTCGCTTACTTGGTTTCGTCTCAACTGTAGGCTGTGCGTAGATAATGGATCTCTTTGTAAAAACCAAAATCGACAAAGAAGTTTCACAAAATCAATCGCCTTCGTTGCTTACCTTGGGAGCTCGCACTCATCGATACGACTTGGTCCCAGCGCGACATGATACAATATTTAACAACACAATTTACACTCTTTCGTCTACCCCTTTTGGATGGCGATGTAACTCCCGCCTGCCAACTTATGAGGGAAACGGTGCTGTATGCTGGCACCCTAATAGCGCACGAAAGAGAATAGCTAGCGTAGTTAGAAAAACTTCACGCTTTGAATAGTGCGAAAATAAAAGGGTTCATTCCTGCGTTAATTTACACTCAATATCGTGAGAAAGAGAGGGGAGATAAAGAAAGGTAGGAGAGAGTAGAAATTGTTTCTTACATGCAGAGTAAACAGACAAACAAATTAAGACATTTTCACAATTCTAAAAGCAGAATACTCTTATCACTCCAGAGAACTTTTTGGTTAGCCATAAATATAAAGAATGTAAAGACTAATTACACTGAGGATGTGGAAAACATTGCCGAAAGAACTGCTAGCTCTCACAAAGTAATAAGATAATCCTGATGTAGCGTCTTTCTTTAAGATTAAGGAAGGCACCTCACTA